AATAAATTCAGGAGAATAAAACTGGATGTTGAGAAAGAAAGAAAGAAAGAAAGAAAGAAAGAAAGAAAGAAAGAAAGTAAAATAAATTCAGGAGAATAAAACTGGATGTTGAGAAAGAAAGAAAGAAAGAAAGAAAGAAAGAAAGAAAGAAAGAAAGAAAAAATAAATTCAGGAGAATAAAACTGGATGTTGAGAAAGTAAAAAATAAAAAAAAAAAGAAAATAAAGAAAAGAAAGAAAAAACTGAAAGAAAGAAAGAAAGAAAGAAAGTAAAATAAATTCAGGAGAATAAAACTGGATGTTGAGAAAGAAAGAAAGAAAGAAAGAAAGAAAGAAAGAAAGAAAGAAAGAAAGAAATAACTAAAGAAAGAAAGAGAGAAAGAAAGAAATAACGAAAGAAAGAAATAACGAAAGAAAGAAAGAAAGAAAGAAAGAAAGAAAGAGAGAAAGAAAGAAATAACGAAAGAAAGAAAGAAGGAACGAAAGAAATTCACGAGAATAAATCTGGATGTTGAGAAAGAAAGAAAGAAAGAAAGAAAGTAAAATAAATTCAGGAGAATAAAACTGGATGTTGAGAAAGAAAGAAAGAAAAATAAATTCATGAGAATAAAACTGGATGTTTAGAAAGAAAGAAAGAAAGAAATAAAGAAAGAAAGAAAATAGAACGAGAGATAGAAAGAAAGAAAAATAAATTCACGAGAATAAAACTGGATGTTGAGAAAGAAAGAAAGAAAATTAAATTCACGAGAATAAAACTGGATGTTTAGAAAGAAAGAAAGAAAGAAATAAAGAAAGAAAGAAAATAGAACGAAAGATAGAAAGAAAGAAAAATAAATTCACGAGAATAAAACTGGATGTTGAGAAAGAAAGAAAGAAAGAAAGAAAGAAAGGAAGGAAGAAAGAAAGAAAGATAGAATGAAAGAAAGAAAGAAAGAACACTAAATGTAAAAGGGGAAAAAGAAAGAAAAAAAAGCAAATGCCATGAAAGAGAGGAAAACGAAATAGTTATAATGAAGAATGAAGAAAGAATAGAGAATGAAAGAAAAAAAAGATAGAATGAAACAGAGATAGAGATAAAAGAAAAAAAAGAACGAAAGAAAGAAATTGTCAAAAGTGAGATTAACAAATAAGAAAGTAAAAAGAAAAAAAGAAATGAAAATTAAAAAACAAAGTAACAGAGGAAGAAAGAAAGAAGGAAAAAAAGAAAAGAAAAGAAAGGAAATAAAATAATTAAAAAAAATGAAAAAAGGAGAAATTCAGAAAGACAGAAAAACAAACATTAACTGAAAAAGAAAAAAAAAAGATAAAAAAAAACGAAAAATAATAAAATAAAACAGAGGAAAAAAAAGAAGAGAAATGAAAAAAAACGCATGAGAAAATGTGAAAAAAAAAAAAGAAAGAAAATAAAGTAAATAGATAAATACGAAAAAGAATAGAGCAAAATAAAAACAGTGAAAGAAAAATGAGAAAATAACAAAGGGATGTATAAATAAAAGAAGGAAGATCGAAAGAAAAGAGAAAGTTAAAATAAAAACAAATGAAGAAAAGAACCAAATAAATAAAAAAAAACATAAACATATTGAATAATGAACTAAAAATCAATCATTTGACTTAGAAGCAGAGATATTTTTGTTGAGAGAAAGAAATTAACATAGACAAGGTATCACATTAACCCTTGTGTAGTCCAAACGAGTAACAAGATATTGTTAATGATTTTGAGAACTTCATTAACTATTGTAAGTATCTATCTATGAAATATTTTCTGAGAAATACAATTTTTCTTCCCATAAACAACCTTACATTTCTATATGTCTGCCATTCGTTCATGCACTGAATATTGTCATCATATCTTTCCTCTTTGGTTCGTCGACATTCCGAATTTAAGCCCGGTACTAGATTGGCAGATCGGTCTCATTATTTTATAATTGAAATTGCTAGATGCAACTATAATTGCTAAACTTAGTTTTTTTTTCTTGCAATTCTTGCTTGAGAAACACTTATTTCCGGCATCTTACCGCCTAGATATTCAAAAATTTAAATCACTCTTATTAATTTCGCTTCTTTTATTATACCTTTTCCTTAATAATATTTCTCAGTTTCTCATGTCCTTTCACATATTGTAATATCCTTTTTATGGATTTTAGCCTTGCTCTATCTATATAGCTAGATAGCTATCTCAGTTTGTTCATATCTATCTATCTATCTATCTATCTATCTATCTATCTATCTATCTATCTATCTATCTATCTCAGAATATTCACATCCATCTATCTATCTATCTATCTATCTCAGAATATTCACATCTATCTATCTATCTATCTATCCATTTTCATATCGATGTATCTCAGTATATTCACATCTATCTATCTGTCTATCTATCTATTTACATATCTATGTATCTCAGTATATTCACATCTATCTATTTTCATACCTATGTTTATCAGTATATACACATCTATCTATCTATCTATCTATCTATCTATCTATCTATCTATCTATCTATCTATCTATCTATCTCAGAATATTCACATCTATCTATCTATCTATCTATCTATCTATCTATCTATCTATCTATCTATCTATCTATCTCAGTATTTTCATATCTATGTATATCAGTATATACACATCTATCTATCTATCTATCTATCTATCTATCTATCTATCTATCTATCTATCTCGGTATGTTAATATCTATCTCAGAATATTCACATCTATCTATCTATCTATCTATCTCGGTATGTTCATATCTATCTCAGAATATTCACATCTATCTATCTATCTATCTATCTATCTATTTTCATATCTATGTATCTCAGTATATTCACATCTATCTATCTATCTATCTATCTATCTATCTATTTTCATATCTATGTATCTCAGTATATTCACATCTATCTATCTATTTTCATATCTATGTATATCAGTATATACACATCTATCTATCTATCTATCTATCTATCTATCTATCTATCTATCTATCTATCTATCTATCTATCTATTTTCATATCTATGTATATCAGTATCTATCTATCTATCTATCTATCTATCTATCTATCTATCTATCTATCTCAGTATTTTCATATCTATGTATATCAGTATATGCACATCTATCTATCTATCTATCTATCTATCTATCTATCTATCTATCTATCTCAGTATTTTCATATCTATGTATCTCAGTATATTCACATCTATCTATCTGTCTATCTATTTCAGTATTTTCATATCTATGTATATCAGTATATACACATCTATCTATCTATCTATCTATCTATCTATCTATCTATCTCTTTAGGATAAATTAATTACTCATTCAGGTACCTTTAATCAGTGTTTGATTTCTAAATGCAGCCTAGATTTAAAATCCCAAATTTTAACTCTTAGACGCTTTAAATAACACATGTTTTCCCTATACAGGTGTAGATACAAAAGTAAGTATATTGCAATGAAAAGCAAAACGTGCACACAAAACACGTTGTATTGATTCCGCAAACATATAAATAACAAGCTATCAATACTAAACATATCAGTCTCTCAAATGTTCAAACTGTTAATCCCCTTCATTCACACAATCCTTTTTAATTGCAAAATCTTTATTATTATGACTTGTTAAAAAATAAAATATGATAATAAATGTCAGTCATATTTATATGTTAGTGTATAATGACGTGATATCTGTCTTGTCACCAATAAACCTTTCTCCTTCGTTCACTTAATCTCTAATCCCAACCCTGTCAATGTAATTAATTTTGAAGCCATATATTGCACCTCTTACTTCCGCTCAAATTCGGACGGAAAAATTAACATTACAATCAACGCCATCACATGACAAGAATCAGAAGTGTTTAAATAAAATGGCTATTTTTATAGTGATGTTATAACATACCTATGTTATAATTTTTACATATAGTAAATCTATTATGATAAAAAATATGAAAATAATAATATTAAAAAATAGCAGCATGGTCCAGCGTTGCCCGTGCTTGATTCAAAAATCGTACGACTCATACAGCAATCGCTATTACTTGACTTAAAATATTTTTGCCCTTCCTTGCCTTTAAAGAGTGCCCTTTGCCGTGCTGATGTTGCTACATGCCTTACTTCTTACTTATCTCACACTGAGAATTTTTTCTAAGCTCTATAGTAAACATTAAATCTGTTACGAAAAAAGAACAAAACAAAATGAACACAAAACGATCAACTTTAAAAAAGGACTCGTAACTAGAAAGACCGAATGAAAAAAGAATGTTAACAACAAATACTTTTTCACACCCAACCCAGTTCTGAGTAATCAGAATCAACGTTGAGTTTAAGCAAGCGAATGAGCCAATTGGAGTAAAATGCCATGCAGATTTAAATTTTTGCCACTTGTGACGAATGCATCTATCGATTTTTTTGCATGCTAGTTAACATTCGTGTCAGTCAGCTGTTGGCTCTCACGCTGGCTAATAGAATGAATAGAATAAATTACTACCAATCGTACCAAAAACTGAACTTGATACAGATAATATAATGATTCTTGGTCTCACGTTTGCCACTGACCTGAAGTGGCACAACTACATTGAATCAATAGCTGCATCTATTGCAAGGAAAGTTCGTTCTCTGTGTCGCGCCAGAAGGTTTTACTCGCCTGAGTTCATCCTTCAAATCTACAAATCAACCATTCGTCCTTGCATTGAATACTGTTGCCTTATACGGCCTGTTGCTCTCGCTGTTCATCTGCGAGACAAAATCCATAGACGTATGTGCAATGTGATAGGTCATGTGCTGGCATCTCGTCTACAGTCACTTTCTCACAGAAGTGATGTGGCTTCCCTCTGTCTTTTTTTACAAATATTTCCATGGCAAGTGCTCTGACGTGATATTTTCACTGATGCTCCATCTGCATGAATTTAAGCGTGCTACTAATTTGTCATCTCTTTACACTTTTTTTTACCGTCGAAACGGTTAAATGTAACCGCCTCTTCTATTCTAACAGCTTCTCTCCCACTTCCCGGCAGTGGAACTCCCTCCTATTTGCTTTCCTGATAGCTATAATCCTCAAATATTCAAATGTAATGTCAATCGACATCTTCTGATGCCTTGTTCCTAATCCCCGTCCTTCTCTTTACCTTATCCTCAAACCCCTTTCTTTACCCTTACTTTAATTCTCTGTAACCCCTTGCAGTTACGCCTTGCTTGGGGTGAAATGCTTAAAAAATAAATCAAAATGTTAGGATTGGAAATGAATCCTCTCCGATGCGATCCTTTAGGGAATAAAATAGTTGATTCCAATAGCAGCTCAATTCGACCTATTAATGGCAGCCATCGACAAATCGAAATTAATTTAAAGGATGACCTATTAGGTTGGTGCAAAAATAATGACGTAATAATGTCGTTTTTTGACGTATTTTTTAACGTTAAAAAACGACATTATTACGTCATTATTTTTGCACCAACCTAATAATTATTCAGGGTAACACTAGCAAACATTTTTGCCAGCGTATAAATGGTTTTTTGACTGGGAGTTTTTTTTTTTCCTTTTCTGATCTATAATATTCATGAGATATTGTAACTTGCATACAGCATTTATTCCAGCTTTTAAAGAATTCTCTCAATGACAAGATATTTCAGCCCCTCTAGAACAATACGGAAGGTAAGAAATCTTTTGCATTGAAAGGATAAAAGATATGGAAACATGAAATTATGAAGGTGGTTGGAAGTTGTCAAAAGACAGTGCGGGGGAAAAAAGGAAAATAACTTTTATATTAGTCGAAGCTGACATGTAATCAACCCTAAAGATGGTAAAGCTAAAGGATTATTTTACACACACACACACACATGTATTAGGTTGGTGCAAAAATAATGACGTAATAATGTCGTTTTTGACGTTAAAAATACGTCAAAAAACGACATTATTACGTCATTATTTTTGCACCAACCTAATATATACACAGGGTGCGATAGATAAATTGACGTCTAAATTACTCTAAAATGAAAATAACACTGACATCTTAAAAAATATATATATATTTACAAAAATTATACAAAAATAACTTGAAATTCTAAAGAGTAAATTTATTAAAAAAAAAAAAAAAAACGCCACAGCCTCCAGACGACTTCGGAATCTCCTGCAACTCTGAGCTGTCTCTTTGTTTAAGTTGGTGAATGCTGCCATAACTCTTGCCGTCAGTTCATCATTGGTGTTACAAAGACTTTTGTTGGTATATTGCTCAACTGTGCCCCACACATAATAATCAAGGGGGTTACAGTCTGGGGAGTTAGATGGCTAGATGTAAGGGGTGATGTGGTCGCAGAAATTGCCTGATAGCCATGACTGGGTTCTCCTACGTGTGGCATGGTTCAGAGTCCTGTTGCCAGACATGAGGTTTTCAAGTTGCCAATCTCTTGTGCCAGGGTGCACTACTTCGTCGGAGTACTTGGTGTAGGCCCCCGGGTTGAGTCTGAGGCCCTTCGGGAAGATAAATGTTTCAACCCGCACTCCCCTTTGTTCGAACACTCTCGGAGAACACTTTTTCTTGATTAAGATCTCTCGAGTACGTAGATCGATAAATAAAAAATAAAAACGAAGCGTCTATTTCAAATACGTGTATCCACTAAAAGTAACGTTTAAAATATAACAATATCAGATTAAAATAAATTGATTAGTTTTTTTTTAAATATTTATTAGTTATATGTTACTTTTATTTCGTATATAAGACAGCTCGGTTTTAAATCAATTTAAAAAAAAACTTTTCGCAAAAATTGAGTGTCTTTTTATTAATTAGAAAATAACATTTGCTGAATTGTATATAATTGATGTAATGAATATGCATACACCTGGGTCCCCCCTTTACAGTAATATGATTGGCTGGTGTCAGCCATAAATACAGACTGATGTGGGCTACGCCTATAGTATTCGCCTATTGCCTACCACTACGACGAGGACCAGTCCATTACGTTTACTTGCTAGATTGTTCTACTCAGTTACAGTAGTCCAAAACCACTTTGCTACTTCGAACAAATATATCCCTTTTCGGGACATATCAATAATAATAATAAAAACATAAGTGAATGAATATTTCAACTGCCAAGTTTATCTATTTTGAAAGGAACAAAAATGTCATTCGTCCTTGAACTTGGTTAGGCACAAAGTGGTAAAAGCAACCATCATGAGTAAAATAATCTCGAACTGTTTTAATTTATTTTAATAATTTTCTTTTAATTTCATATTTTAAAAAGTTAACAAATCCATTTTGATGATAGTATTCATAAAAAATATCACACGAAGCAAAAAGTAACGTCGCTAACAAGTGAGGAAAGTGATTATGAGGACTCCAGAATTCTAGCCTGATAAGACCAAACGAAAAAAAAAAAAAATAAAAAATAAAAAATAAAAGCAGGACTAAAGTGAACAGATTCAAAAAGAAACATCAAAAATAATTTTTTAAAATCTCAAACGATTTTTATTCTGTTTTTCAAAGACTAATTTTTGGTTGAAATTCATTGTTTTAAATCCTGAATTCGAATTCAGTTTTTTTTTTTTTGTTTTTTTTTTGTTTTTATAATTTCACTCCAAGTTGATAATGCTACAAACAGGCAGAGGGTTACAGGGGCCGAAAGGGAATATAAAAAATAAAAAAAAACCTTAGCTGAGAAGTGAGGAAAGGACAAGAAAGAGACAGGGTTCAGGAAGACAGAAAATGGCGATTGACGTTGCATTTAAATATTTGAAGATTTTTGTCACGGAAGCATAAAATCGGAAGTGACTTCCACGGGCGAGAAGTACGAGAAAATAAACTATTTGAATAGACGGTTGCATCTCGCGAGATCAAAAGTAAAACGGTGAGATCTAGTTGCACGTTTAAATTCATGAAATCTAAGGACTAATCAGAACAGTCGGTATGAAAATATTTATAGAAAAGACAGAGGGAAGCCGTGTCACGTCGGTGAGTAAGTGACTGAAGCCGAGATGCCAGGTCAGGATTGATCATATAACAGACCATTCTTTGAATTTCCGCAAGAATCTTGAGATATACAGCAGTAATTTTTCCTGATCATTATGTTGTTAGATTAGCTAAAAAAAAAAACAACACAAATTCGGACTGAAGAAAAAATCTACACGGCTGAAAGAAAATTTCTAATGGCGTGTATGTGCGTGTGCGTGAGTGTGAGTGTGCGTGTGTGTGTGTGTGTGAGTGTGCGTGTGTGTGTGTGCGGGAGTGTGAGTGTGCGTGCGTGTGAGTGTGCGTGTATGTGCGTGTGCGTGAGTGTGTGTGTGTGTGTGTTGTCGTGAATCCGTCAGACAAGCAAAAGCGAAATATACCAGAAATATATCAGTAATTCAAAGAATAACTTTTTTCAACTTCATAACTTTAAATCTTCATGTTGAATTCATTTTCCTGTTCTTTGTCATGTTAAATGAGGCAAAAAACATAAAGTCAAGCTGAAAAAATCTGCCCGACTGAAAAAAAATGAATAGCGTGTATGTGTTTGTCTGTGCTTGGTGTGTGTGTGTGTGTCCATGTTTGGTGTGATGTGTTGTGATTCGACCAGACAATAAATAAGAGATGAATGAATGCGACAAAAAGTTTGATGACACCGCTCGATGCCGCTTATACAAAATGATAAACAGGGAAAGTCATCCCCCCCACACACAGATAGAGAGAGAGAGAGAGAGAGAGAGAGAGATTCAGCCACTATTGCATAGTCACATATGCAAACATCAAAAAAGGCTACAGCATTTAAAAACTTTTACTTCTAATTGCACTACAGTGCGTTTATGTGGAATAATTAACAATGTACAAGTTATCTGATTTAAAAAATAAAAACATTACTCAAGTGTGAAATTTTCACAATGAAAACTGAAAATATCTATATTTAGCACAGGTTCTAATTAAATGCAAAAAATATTCTTAGAGCCTGACATACATATAAGAAGTTTTCTTAAAATTTCCCATGAGAGAGAACAAGAACCCCGTCATTGTGATTTGAGTGGAAGAGCAGCCTTTGAGTCGAGTGAGTGCTTAATATTATAATGTTCGGATAAGGTCGTATTAATGGTTAATAATATTCCAAGAAAAACACTGTAACAAAAGATTAGTGAAGAAACTGTTTAATTCTGTAGAGCAATAATACAATAATAGTGACTAACATACTTTGCGACGACTTCACGACTCTTTTTCCTATGAGCAGACTTTCCACTCAGTCACAGGACGAGTCTATGTTCTACAATTAATGTAAACCTGGAAAAAATAATGGATAATAAAAACAGCGTTTTTTATATAACAAATTAATATATTTCAATGAAACCTCATGCAGAGGCATATATATAAGGTAGAAAATTCACTCGTGTTCATCATCGGCGAGCACTATTTTCTCCAGGCGGAACCGGAAGCTGGAGCAAGCCTTGACGAAGGCGTTTCTGCCCATGTTGGCCATGGCGACCCAGATGGCTGCCTTGAGAGTTTCCTTGGTGTTGTAGGGCCTTCTGTTCACATAGCTAAACAAGAAGACACACAAAATAGTCGAGAGGATTGAAGTCGGGTGACCAGTGAAGCAGTGCGCAAGTGGCGCTTCTTGAACACATAAGATTTATAATTCAAGTCCCCCTTTGAGATACACATGATTGTACGCCTGATGGTGGCCATTTCATTAGTGATTTTCCTCATGTTTTTGCTGAGGTTCTTCTTGACAGCCACGGTAACGAACTCGGGCGCCCTGAAATTGTCTTTATCGCCTGAGGCCCCATGTGTCTTTACAAGGTCGTAGACCATGGTTTAGGCATTTAGGGTATTTAAACTATTCAAAGATTTCCTTGGGTTTGTCGCTGGCATGAAGTCTCTCGACAACAGCAGCTCAACAATTGTATTCTGAAGACGTCAAGTACCTCGTGTGTCAATGGCCAGACAGCAAGTGAGGTGTAGTAATTTTTAACGACGCTCTCGAAACGTCGCTACGCTGTGACGTCTCCGTGCAGATGACACCTTGAAATTCTGGATTTATCTGCGTCATATCGTACACAACAATTGCAATAAGAATTAAACTAATATCTGGACATCTTATTTTCATATGAAAGGGGATCATGGTTTTCTGGGTGTAGGGTAGCAACAGGTCTGTGCAAGAATAACACTGGCGACTTAGCATTACCACTTATATATATATATATATATATATATATATATATATATATATATATATATATATATATATTGTCATCCACAGACAGACTGTTTCTCTGTATCACAGCTCTTCAGTGTGGCTAGACATCCGGTCATACTAGCTAGGATCGAAACCCGGCTGAATTGGTGTATTTATTTATAGATAAAAAACAGTAACTGAGAGGACTCAATTCGTTTTATCGAATAGTCTTGCTATAATAGCCGTAATAGTCACTGTTTACAAACCCACACTTCCTCCTCAGAGAGCTCAACCGAAATAAATTTTTCAGGAGCCTATATATATATATATATATATATATATATATATTAATTCATCGAGTCTAGAAGAAAACTCAACAAAATGCAGAAAGCACTGAACGGCCGTTTCGTTCTATATTTGGGACTCATCAGCAGGGCGCATCCACTACCGAGAATTGAAACCCGGCAAACGTCATACCAACTGTCCCAACGCGGGGTAGAAGAGGTAGTGAATCAGACTCGATATAGCACCGCTCGATCACATATTCATCCCATTTTCTCTTTTATCCATACGACTCTGCCCCCAAGAGCCACGACTACTATCCCCAAGTCGCTCCATCCAGAGCATTAGAAGCCGGTTCAAGTAAGCATATACAATTGATAGAAATTAGGAGGATTTCAGATAATTATAATTAGGTCATATTGGTGAATTCTCGGTCGTGTATGCGCACTGCTGATGAGTCCCAAATAGGGCGAAACGGCCATCCTTCATTCTGTTGAGGTTTCTTCTAGACTCAATGAATTACTTAATTATAAGTATATCAAATCTTCCTAATTTCTATCACTTGTATATCCTTGCTTGAACCGGCTTCTAATGCTCTGGATGGAGCGACTTGGGGATAGTAGTCGTAGCTCGTGGAGGCACAGTCCTATGGGTAAGGGAAACTCTGATGATTTCCACCACGGAATATGTGATCGAGCGGCGATATATCGAGTCTAATTCCTTACCTATTCGTTACCGAGGCCCGTTGGTACAGTTGGTATGGCATTTACCTGATAGCGTAACGGTACTGGTTTCAATTCTAGGCAGTAGATGCGCACTGCTGATGAGTCTTAAATACAGGACGAAACGGCCAGTGCATTCTGTATTTTGTTGAGGTTTCTTCTAGACTCGAATAATTAATTATAATTATCTCAAATCCTCCTAATTTCTAACACACACACACACACATACACATATATATATATATATATACTAGCAGCATGGCCGGGCGTTGCCCGCGCTTGATTCAAAGATCATACGACTCATACAGCAATCGCTATCACTTGACTTTAAATATTTTTGCCCTTCCTTGCCTTTAAAGGAGTGCCTTTTGCCGTGCTGATGTTGCTACATGCCTTACTTCTTGCCTATCTCACACTGCGAATTTTTTTCTAAGCTCTATACTAAGCATTAAATCTGTTGTGAAAAAAGAACTAAACAAAATGAACACAAAACGATCAGTTTTAAAAAAGGACTCGTAACTGGAAAAACCGAATGAAAAAAGAATGTTAACAACAAATACTTTTTCACACCCAACCCAGTTCTGCAGAATCAGAATCAACGTTGAGTATAAGCAAGTGAATGAGCCAATAGGAGTAAAGTGCCATGCAGATTTAAATTTTTCCCACTTGTGACGAATGCAACTATCGATTATTTTTGCACGCTAGAATGCTAGTTAACATTCGTGTCAGTCAGCTGTTGGCTCTCACACTAGCCAATAGAATTTTCCTGCCTATTCGTGGCAGCCAGCCATTGGCTCTCACTCTGGTCAGTACAAAATGGCCGCAAACTACCGTAGAAGCATGACAAAATCGATTATTTCCACTATCGATGGGAGTTGGGAAATGCAAAGTCGGTCTTGGCCTTCTCGCTAACTTGGAGCATGTGCATTAGAAAATTGCGGCCGTGCATTCGTTACACACACACACACACACACACACACACACACACACACACACACACACACACACACACACACACACACACACACACATCCTGGCTTTTATAGATAGAGATTAGTCGGCACATGAGATTTATAATTCAAGTCCTCCTTGAAAATACACCCGATTATTCGCCTGCTTGTGCCCATTTCCCTGGCGATCCCGATGATCGCCATCCCCTGTCCTTATACCCTTTCTTCCATCAGGTGGCCGAGATGGCTGTGAAGACACAGCCTACTCATTAAACTCGTGAGCAGGAGTCTCATAGGATTATGGGTGCCAGACCCTCCTGACAGTACGTCGCACATCCTATTCATGCTGACGGCTGATGGATGGTAGAAAGCGAAGTCAAAGAGGTTTGAATTTGATTTTGGTGGACATGACTGCGTGACGGAGAAACCCACACACTCTGCCTGAAGCGCCTCTCTCGAAAGGGGATTGAAACAGGCGAGATCTGGCAAACCTGGTTGTATCGGGTTGTCGGATACTTAGTTTGTCAATGCCCTTCATAGCTGCCTTCTTCCGCTGGTATGGCTGTTGAGATAGTGTAGATCTTTGCCTATTCTGCCGTCGATCCCGATAAAATGTTTTAATGATAATACAATTAAAATTAATTAAAAGTAAAGAAAAGTTCGATTTAAGAAGTATAAATAATTTAAACAACTTGAACTAACATTTTCAATGATACTAGATACGTCTAATTAAGTACATATTACGAGTCAATAGAGTTGGATATTTTTATTGCATATATGGACAATTTCTACAAGTAAAAAGGAAATAGGATTTCTTTATAATGCATATGCAATATCCATATAGAAAGATGAACCAAAAATCCTCTGTGGAAATCTATCAGTGCAGAATCGCATTGTGTCGATTACGGACATTCAGAACAGAGCTAGCACACTTGCATATACAGGTGCACGCATTTACAAGCATACCGAAGTCGAATGATGCAAGCATGTGTGTGCAGTCGATCGGTAGTAAGTGCACATTTGGTAAGGTTTTGCGCTCGACTGCATTTCAAAAGAGGTGTTGAATTTATTGAGATGACATTGAACGATAAATGGTGCGCTTCCTGTGCTAAATCCTCAATCTTCCTTCGACTTCTTCACCAGTGACCACCTCTACCACATCGCCATATTTGTTCCACCGCGGTCTGCGCATTCCTTTCTTCCTCATATAATCTCTCCATACCTTTCCCCGTGTTTCTATTTCTGTCTGCGACTCTCACTCCTCTCTCTCTTTTCGCCCTCTCTCTCTCTCTCTCTCTCTATATATATATATATATATATATATATATATATATATATATATATATATATATACGTGGTAACCACATGCATACATTTATATAAAATCACATGATATTTAATTCTAACTTAAAAGCTATATTTTGATTTGTGAGTGTGTTTTGTTTGTTTCTTTCTCTCTTTCTATTCACACAGACACAAACACGTATGTGAGTGTGTATGTATGTGTGCGCCTGTGTATGTGTGTGTGTCTGTATGTGTGTGTGCAATCTTACTTGCTGCAATCATTTCTGTACATTTTTTCCTGTGTCGGTTTCTGTCTGGAACTTTCTTTCTCCCACACACACACATACACGCATATATATATATATATATATATATATATATATATATATATATATATATATATATATATATATGTGTGTGTGTGTTTGTATGTGTGCGCATATGTGTGTATGTACACATGGTTACTGCATGCATACATTTGTATTAAATCATAAGATATTTAATTCTAACTATATTTTCTTATAGTTGCTTCTCTTTCTCTCTCTGTCTATATATATATATCTGCGACTGTAAGTTTTTATCTACATGTATATACACTACATGTATATATATATATATATATATATATATATATATGTGTGTGTGTGTGTGTGAAGACTGGTATCGGTGTCGGATTTTTATCTTTTTATGAAGACGCATAAATTATGTTAACTTTTGTTAAGACAATCTATGTTCTTATCAGCTTCTATTTCATTTTCTGCATCTACGTAATAAATATTGTGCATTAGAGATTTTAATATCTTTTACTATTTTCAAAAAAATATTCGTAATAAAATCATTTCGAGGAAATTCATTTATCTTATACAAACATACTAACTGCAAAATATAATTTCATTGGGCAATAAATCCGTAAGTTTAAAGATATAAAGAAACGTGCATTATTTTATTATTTTATATGTTAACCCATGATCCATGACATTTTCATTTAGTAATGTTAACCCCCAAAAAGGCCCAAATGCCACTCAAGGTAGAGGGATACTCTGTGGATTGTATTTGCATAAGAAAGAACAAGATATATATATATATATATATATATATATATATATATATATATATATATATATATATATATATAACCTAACCTGAACAAAATAAACTTTGAAATCTCCACAAATATTCTTAATGCCTATAATTGATAACAGAAGCCATACCAACGGCTTCCCACACTTAATACTTCTCGTTTTTACTCTCGCGTGGTCATGTGTGACGTCATGATCTGCGGTGCGATTTTTCGTTTCCAGCGTCTCGTATGCACGAGTTTGTTGTTGCTTGTAAATCTTCCATGTAAACAAAAACAGACTATCATTATTGTTTTGTCCGTGTATTGTTTAATGTATTGTAATGCAATTGTCATCTTTGATAATGGCTTATGTAAGCCGAAAGCTTAGAATTAAAACATATGTATCAATATGGTGATTTTTTCGTTTTTTAATGATAATGTTATTAAGCTTATCAGACGATATGAAAAGAATTTACATATAAATAAATAGACAAAACTTGTCCATATTATTTAATGAAAATGTAGCAATATATATATATATATATATATATATATATATATATATATATATATATATATATATATACCCCTTTCCTTCTCGATCTCTTATCAACACTGTCCACAGAAGGGACATCCTCCACACCCCTAATCCTAAATGCCTCGTCCCCTAATTCAAAATACTCGGCCAACTTTCACATCGATGAAGACGAAACCGATAAAAGCATTTATTTCGCAAGCGAAGAATAAAAAAGGGATCGGGTTTGTACTAATAATCCCATCCACAACGAGTTCACACCAGCGCCCAAAAAAATAAAATAAAAAAAAAGACACCGTTGGTGAATCTCCCCGGTTTCTCTATTTATTTCTCGCACCTGTGATGAAGGACACAGGCGTGCCCGAAAATTCCGGACTAATAAAATTAATCTCCGTGCTTCATTTATATCTTGTGAATAACGATTAATATATAATAAATTCATTTCGCACTGATCACATCGGCATCTTTTCGTTTTCCCTTGTTTTATTAACCAACCTATCTATATATATATATATATATATATATATATATATATATATATATATATATATATATAGAGAGAGAGAGAGAGAGAGAGATAGATAGATAGATAGATAGATAGATAGATAAGTTCAGCGAATATATAAAAATAGCAAGGGGCGTAAGGCAAGGATGTGTCTTCTCACCGGACTTATTCAACCTATAAAGCGAGGTAATTCTGATAGAATTGGGGATCCTACTGGGATTCATCATTGGCGGCCACAACCTTACCAACATAAGATACGCAGATGACACAGTACTGATAGCATACACACAAAATAAACTACAAAACCTCCTACAGAAGGTAGTGAGGGAGAGCAAGAAGAAAGGACTAATCACAAATTACAAAAAGACAGAATGCATGGTCATCAGTAAAAGGATGAGCCCAAAATGCGATTTTCAGGTCGTGGATACTAAAATCAAGCATGTGCGGAAGTTTAAATACCTGGGAAGTGTTTTTACGGAGGACGGTAGGTGAGACGTTGAGATCCGAAGAGGGACTGGGATGGCCAAGGACGCATTCCAAAAGATGGGCAGAGTAATGCGAGACAGGAGGATTTCTTTGGTATGGAGCTGTTACGTGACATCTGTCCTCGTTTACGGCAGCAAATGATAGCCGGTCTCCTCAAAGATGAAGAAATGACTCGAGGCAACGGATATATGATTCTAGAGGGGTGCCGATGGAGCGAGTGTGTGAGCAACGCTGAGGACTTGGAGAGGCTACAAACAAGGAGGAAGCTTATACTTAACATCAGGAAGAGGCAGTTGACATTTCTGGGACATGTAATGAGAAAAGAGGGCATGGAGAATTTGATACCCATTGGTCGAATACAGAGAAAAAGCCAAGGGAAAGTGGGCTTAAGCAAGTTGATAGCAGAACGTGGTCTGGGGGGGTGACAGAGGCATGAAACTTATTGTGAGCCACAAGGAATAGGGGGAAGTGGAGAGCCATGATCGCCTACGCCCTGAAAGACACGGCACATGAAAATAAAAAAAAGATAAATAGCTAGATAGATATTTATGTATGTATATATAAAGAGTTTCGGCTGGAAAACTCATAGGCTGGGCAATAAATGTAAGTAGATAGATCAATTGGATGATCAGCTGTTGTATTCTGGTACACATGCATATCTTTTAGTCTAATGGTGTGTCTACTTACATTAATATTTTGGTCTGTCTTTGAACTTTACAATCGACACTTATCTATCTATCTACTATCTATATTTCTCATGTTGTCTGTCTGTGTGTCTGTCGTGGGTGTTGTTACCTCGCCCAGGCCGCATTTCTCACCCGATTTCGATGCAAATGGCTGCCGTAAGGACATGACGGAGCCCGATTTTTGAGTTCGGAATCAGGTTCCGAAAAAATCGATTATCTGCTTACAGAAGGAATGATCATATTTCAACCAAATTTGACACCCTCTTAGAGTCTACCATTAGAAGTGCTGTCCAGAAGTTTCATGACCACGGACCCCTAAACAGCGCGGAAAATCGATAAAACCCAAAAACCGATACGCCCAGATTGCGTCTGAACCGCATGTCGGTTTTTAGTGAAAACCGAGCGGATTTATGAAGAGGCCATTGGGAGTCATCATGTGAAGTTTCGATCTCTGAGCGCCCCCCAAACAGAGTGCAAATCGACAATCGGTCAACCCTTAAAAATGTTTTTTCCGGTTTTTTAAAGCTGATCGTATTGTGTTTATTTTGTTTAGTTCTTTTTTCGTAACAGATTTAATGTTTACTATAGAGCTTAGAAAAAGTTGGCAGTGTGATATAGGCAAGAAGTAAGACATGTAACAACATCAGCACGGCAAAGGGCACTCATCTAAAGGCAAGGAAGGGCAAAACTATTTTAAGTCAAGTGATAGCGATTGCTGTATTAATCGTACGATTTTTGAATCAAGCATGGGCAACGCCGGACCATGCTGCTAGTATGTATATAATAAACGTTGGTTTATAGGACGAAACGTGATTTTGACATGAAATTTTAAGGTAAAAATTTGCGTCTTATACACCAAAAAATATACTATA